GGTTGGGTCACAAGTTACCATATACCTCGGTAAGAAGCGAACCACGTTCGTAGTACAGAAAACCCAGTTAGCCAAAATTCAGGAGGAAGTCTGCATTGACTGTAAATCAAAATCTTGCTGACTAGTACCAATTCGGATAACGCCTGCCAGTTTCTGTGGCTGCAACTTACCATGCGGGAAACCGTGCTTTAACGTGTTTATCACATTTTAAAAGAAGAAATTCTGTTTTATTCAACGAGAGAGCATTCAAAATGCGCAAAGTGCAATATATACCACATGTGTAAAAACATAGTTTCATATCACCCGTAGCATCAAGCTGTAGCGTGTATTCATTTATTTATTGTTTTCTAAATGTTAGGATACGCGGTGGTGTCTGTTCCCCTGATTGGATAGCAATTCTATGCGGGCCGTCCTACCGTTACCTGCAACTTCCTGTGACGCAAGCTCCTTTGACATACATATATAATGAACTTCTGAATTACAGACACACAGTGTGGATGAAGTCTGCATTGACTGTAAGCGTCGCAAGGGTTCATGTAGCGCGTAGGTCAACAGGAGAGGTTTACCAGCACAAACAGAGAAAATACTATTAGCAGGATTCGTGACTGTAACAGAAAGGCACGTTACAAGCTAGCTAATGGTAGCTAAGATAAACGTTATCTGATATTAGCAGTGATCCATCAGCTAGATAAAACGCTTAGGTACACGTTTTGGAAACGTTAAAGTAAAGGTTGTTTGGGGAAAAGCTGAGAAAGAAAGAAATACATCGAGAACCTTCTGGTGTGCTTTAGATATTATTGATGGACTTCATTGCTGGATGCTTAGGAGGTAAGTCACTCACCACTTCTGTTCGTTATTACCGTGTCAGATACCCACTGTGGTTCCTGATATTTGTCATGGTAGCAAACCATCAAAACACCAAGCAGCTAAAAAAAAACTATCATACATAAATCACATGTGTGTGTAAAACGTATTTAAAAAGATATGATTATATACTCTCTCTCTCTCT